TTTATCTGCTCTGCAATTAGCACAGAGCCAGAAAATTCCGTGCTATTTATAGGGACAAATCAGGAAATTCTCCTTCCAGTGGCTCACCAGACTTTCTCTTCTGATAAACCTTCCAGGGGACTCCAGAAATCCACCTCCACCCTCTCCTGAGGTGCCAGAGCCAGCTTGGCACTGCCCCAGGGGGATGTTGGGGTTGGTGTTTGGTGCTCACAGTGACCATGGACACGGCTCCAGGGGGTTGGGATCGTTCCTTCTGACCTGCAGCACGCAGAGCTTGGACTCCACGAGGCCCTGGGGGGGCTGGGGACAGGGACAGGGACAGGAGTGGGTGAGGGGGCTGCGGGGCTGGGTGTGAGCAGCCCCTCTGCTCCAGCCCAGCTGGGCACTGGGAGGAACTGGGACACCTCAGCAGTACCAGGGTGCTCTCATCCCTCCCTCCATCCACACCAGCTCCCTGCTCTTCCCCTAAGGATTCCTCCCAGGCCAGGCTGGACGGGGCTCACAGCACCCTGCTCTAGTGGGAGGTGTCCCTGGGTGGGATGGGTGTGCTCTGAGGTCTCTCCCACCCAGACCATCCCGTGGCTCTGCTGGCACTGCAGCCCCAGCTCTGAGCTCGGTCCCTGCTCTGGGAGTGCCGGGGGTGTCCCTGTGCCAGCAGTGCCCCGGCTCAGGCACCCTCCAAACAAAGCTGCTCTGAGAGGAAGGGGAGCCTCCCCCCCGACATCCCTGGCCATTGTCTCCTTGCTCTTGGCATTTCCTTAGGCAGCATTTCCCGCTGTCGTTTCCAGCATTTCCTTTGGAAAGGTCACTCCGGACCCCCAGCTGACAGTGCCTTCCTTGCGCGCTGCTGCTGTGCAGTGTGTCCCAGGATCCCTCACTGCTTTGGGTGGGAAAGGACCTTAAATCCCATCCAGTGCCCTGGCCAGGCACACCTTCCTTAGCCCAGGTTGCTCCAAGCCCATTCCAGCCTGGATCACCCTCCCTGGCCGGGCTGGGGAGGTGTGAGCTGAGGTGTGTTGGGATGAGCTGTGGCAGTGGTTCCAGATCCTGGGGTGGGATCATCCCTGCTCCCAGCACACAGGTGCCCCACTGACCTGCACCACCTGGAGGTGCCTTACTGGTAAAACTTCATCCTGCTGGAATTCTGGTTCGTTCTCTCCTCTGGGAGATTCCCGACCTGTTGGTTGTGTTTGAAGTTTGCTCTCCTCAAATATTCGTGGTTGTTCTGGCGATGGGTGGCTTTGATAGTGTTCCCTCTTCAGCTGCTTCCCCCAGGAGTGGGCCAGGAGGGATTTTTTTGCCCTCCAGTGCTGAGAGTTCCATAGAAACCCCAAACTGAAAGGCAGGAGATGGCTCGGGGCGTTTGTTCGTGTCTGCTTGGAAACTGTCCTGGGCAAACTTGGCCCCACATGCAGCTCCCACTGAAGTCCCATTGAACTTGTGGAGGGAGGAGGGATACTGGGCCAGGAGCCCTGGATGAGAGGCTGGAGTTTTGGGATTGCTGTCTGGTGGGAACCTGGTTATTGTGACTCCCTGTGTGTAACAGGACTGCTGTTTGTCCTTGGCCTGAGCAGTTTGTACTCAGTCCCAGCGAAGTGATTGCTGACAGAAGGTACACACAGACAGGAACGAGCTCCAGGAACGGAGCTGGAAACCCTCCCCGGTGCCCGTGTGTGGGTCACTCCCTGTAGGGTTTGTTCCTCGTGCTCCTCAGGCTTCAGCACTTCAGTCCTTCCAGGTGACACCTCGGGAGAGTCCCCCCTGCCTGCCAACAGCTGCTGTGTGGAGTCACCTCCCCGAGCCTGGAAAAGCAGCCCTGTGAGGGGGCTGGTGAGACGAGAACCTCGGCGCTGCAGGAACCCAGAGCATCGGGAGCAGCGGGAACTGGGAACGCTGCCGGGAACACGCCGTGACCCCCGTGTGTCACTGCAGGAGCCAGAGCAGCACTCGGCAGTTCTGGGGACCCAGAGCGACTGGGCCAAGGGGGGGCTTTGGGGGGCTCTGCCTGTGCTGGTTGTGCCGTTCGGGTTCTCCTGGGCTGGGCTGGGGCAGAGGGAACGTTTCAATCCCAGCAGCTGCTCCTGCAGGGCCGTGTTCTGGGCCGGGGGTGAGGATGCTGCTGAGAACACGCTGAGTTTTGGCTGTTGTTGTGCTCGCCCTAAACCGAGGACTCCCAGTGTCCCCTGCTCGGCCAGCGAGGAGCTGCACCAGGACTTTGCCACAATTCTGTTGTTTTACTCTTCTTGTCTCAATCTTCATCCCTGGAAGTGTCCGAAGCCGGGTCGGACGAGGCTTGGAACAGCCTGGTCTGGTGGAAGGTGTCCCTGCCCATGGCAGGGGCTGGAATCAGATGGTCTTTAAGGTCCCTTCCAAACCACTCTGTGATTCTATTCCCAGAACTCTGATGTTTAATTTTACTCTCCCTCTATTTGTACCTGCTTTTCCTGCCTTACAGGACTGAACTCTCGGTGGTTTGCCCCAAAATAAGACCCAGTTCCCACGACCGTGGTGCTTTTCTGTGTGTCTGGATGGGTTTTTTGTTTCTGTACGATTTTACAGCTCTCTGTTTCGAGTCCTTTCGATTTAAGCTCTTGCTTTTAACATCTGGGAAATGGAAATTTTCTATCCACAGAACCCAAGCGTTGTCACACCCCGTGAATTCTTGCAGGGTGTAGTTGTTACCCATGAGAGTGTCATGGGAGTGTCCTCCTGGAAGCGGCTGCACAGCGACCTGACACCGAGTTGTAACCGGTTTGAGTTCCCCATGTAATGGTTTCACTTCCAGCCCATCCCATCCCTCCTCAGCCTTTGGAGAGGGGCTTCCCCCTCTGCCTCACTGCTTATACAGTGACCTGTAACCAACCCCAAACTCTGTTGTCCTGGGGCAGTGAAGTGCCAGGTTTGAACCGGTGCTGTTCCAAGTGTCCTCTCTGGTTGTGTGACCTGTGACCTTGAGCTCATTGGCTAAAGCTCGTTGACTTAATTGCCTGTTCTCTATATTAAGGTTTTACACAGTGAAAGAAAATGTTTTTAATGGAATTTTGAGCTTTTTAACTGTCCTGCAGCCCCTGTTTTGTGCCTTGGGTTGCTTTTCTCGCCCGCTGCGAGCAGGTGACCGGACGAACCATCTAATCCTTGTCTTTTAACTTGCAGCTTTGTGTTGTTCTTGGAAAGTTTCGCACCACTTGTGAATTCCCTGAACCTTGGCCTTGCCGGCCCCCTTGTGTTGGGCCCTCCTCCCTTTCAGCTTGCCCAAATTAAGACCCACTTGGCTCTGCAGTCGTGGTCCTCGGTGTCCGGCGGCGGCGCGGCCCCTGCCCACGCTGGGTTCCGCCAGGCATTGCCCAAAGACGCAATGTTTAGCCCCAGAGGAACCTTGCCCCCCCGGCCCAGGGGACCCAACCCCTCGGGCAGCAAGCCTCCGGGATCCTTCGGGGGAGGAGGGGCGGCCGGGCCGCAGAGGAAACCGGCGCCGGGAGCCCCCCAGGCAGCGCCCCAGAGACCCCCGGGCCAGGACTCGCTGCAGTGGACGGGCTCCCAGAGGATCAACGTGCGGGTCACGCTGCACAGGGCGGATCCCAGGAAGGTCAAGGAGAAGAGCAGCCTGCACCAGGAGCAGAAGGGAGACCCTCGCCCCAACCGCTGGGACAGCGGCCCGTGCCCGGCCGGGACGGCCGCGCCAAAGCCGCCGGTGCCGGTGCTGGAGCAGAACTCGAGCGCCCAGAACCGCTACACACCCGAGAGCGCCTCCAGCATTTTAGCGAGCTTCGGGCTGTCCAACGAGGACCTGGAGGAGCTCAGCCGCTACCCCGACGACCAGCTGACCCCGGAGAACATG